CGAAGTTTATCATCCGTAATGCAATGCATCACGGAAAATGTTCTTCCAATCAACCCTGAAGGGTACAAATTCATTTCCTACGTTGATTGTATTTCTTAAGTGGTACTAACCAAATAAATCAGGCAATTTTATTATGCCTACGTATGTTTTACTCAGAGAGCAAATCTAACCCCATTTTGTAAACAAATTGTAATATTTTTTTTGTACGTGCAATATTTGACTTGAGTAAACTTGAATTACACAGGTCTGCGATGAAAAATTTGTAGAATGTTCAACTAGTGATTTTAACTGTATTTTGTGTGCAGATTACGAAAAAAATAGTAAAAAAATAGATAAGTCACAAATTTCACCCGAAATTTTCTTTTTGAATGGGTTTTTAGGTTAGGTATGGGTTCGATGTTTCTGTATTATATATAAGCCTATATAAGCGTTAAATTGAGTCTGGTTTATGGAGCTTTTATGATGAACAAGTTACACAATGTGAGTGTATATCTAAGATAAAATACGATTTTAATCTATTTATTTTGTAACGTGAAAAATTGACTTTTATCAACAATCCAAAGCACTTGTTACGAAATGTATCATTTAATTGTGGAAATCATAAAATACATGTATAAAATTTCAGATTTCCAATCTAGTAAACATCAGCTATTTTATTTTCTTGATAACTCTGTATTTCATTGCATAGTTGATGTAGTCTGGGGAAGAGAAAAAGAAACGAATTATTATTAATGAAATAAAATTCTCAAAAAGAAGGAATGCTCAATGAATACTTCATTCAAAGGAGAAGTATTGCCATTGGAGTACACCAAATTTCGTCAACGTGTACGTCACGGCGCAAAGGACGAGTTTGTGTTAATACTTCTGGTCGAGGTCAACCTGAAAGGATTTTGGGTGACGGTGGAGAGACGAAAGTAGAGTGTGTCACGTCAGTTACAATTTTTATGTTGGGCATTATTTTAGTGGAAGCCTTTCCCTTAGAGGAAGTGAGTTTTTCAACCATTTGATTTCTGGAACCAATATCACAACCGAGATCACTTTCTGTAGATCTGCCGGTTTCCATTAAGCTACGGACAAGTACAGCCTTTGGTATTTTCCAAGAAGCGTGGGTCGTCCAACCATCTCGAACGTTTTTGTTCTGGTTTGGAACCTTTTGGATCCCCAAATACCGTCTTTTGCTGTCGACCAGTTTTGAAAAAAAGAAAAGTCGAATTGCTCCAGTTCGACATATATCTTTCGAATCCAGGATATTTATAGTATCGCCTGACAACTGAACTGTTTCGTTTTCTAACCCTCCAGACTACATCCAGAATCTACTCGACCTCTCAGACAGCCTGTTGCTGATAACATCCAGAAAAGAAGGGACTTTTTACATCGGAGTTGATTTCCACTACACAGACAACCTATTTTTGGAAACCAACTATATACCTGGTGTTTCCTTTTTGAATTATATGTGCCTACATGCATGTAACGTTTCAATTTCAATAACAAAAAGAATCTAAACTGTAAAATTCCAGTTCCTACTGGAACAAGGCATGTATGTGTCAGTCTGTCTGCCCCCTTTCTAAAAAAAAAGAAGTTTGAAAGCTGTACTTTTTCACAATGGGAACCAATATGCTTCTGTGCCTGCTGGACACTCAGTCCATTTGAAAAAATGCTACGAAAATCTAGAATTTGTTCTTTATAAGCTCAACTACTCTGATCGTAAGTTGACCATTTGTGGAGACTTGAAAGTTATTTTAATATTACTAGGTCAACAAAGTGGTTACACTAAATTTACATGTTTCCTATGTGCATGGGATAGTAGTGACAAGAAACAACACAAAAAGGGTCTTATTCTTGGAGTTAGAAATGTTGAATAACAAAGTTTAGTGGATCCTAAAAAAATCTTACTTTCACCACTCCATATCAAATTGAGGCTAATGACCTATGTGACCTTCGTCACAAAAATGGAAATGAAAGAAAAAAATGCCTGGAATTCATTCAAACTTGTTATAACAAGCTTTCTTGGGAACAAAAAAGACCCAAACTAAAAAACTTTGGTTGCTGAAAACTACAAAATGTTGGGCTGCAACATGAGTGTCAAAGTCCATTTCCTTCACCCACATCTGGACTACTTTCCCGAAAATCTAGGGGCTGTAAATGAGAAAAAAGGAGAACGGTTCCATCAAGACATAAAAGAAATGGAACGCAGATACCAAGGTCGGTGGAATGTTAACATGATGGCAGACTACTGTTGGATGTTAAAAAGGGAAAATTAACAAGAACACAGCCAAAAAAGTACCAAAAAGCTTTGACGGAAAAAGAAAACGTTTTTACAAAGACTTGTAATCACTTTGCAAACACTTGTGTATCACTATTATGATTAGTTTGGCTATGTAGCAGTTTTTTGCTTTCACTTCATGTTAAAATAATAAAAATTCATCCACAATCCCTCGTTTTTTTCTATTTTTTCAATTATTTCATCCTTATTTTGTAGACAAACCTCACGTGATAGATGAAAACAAATGTCATTTTTGAAATCAGCGCAAAAAACTACATGAAGATCCATTAACGAAATCGAAACAATTTTTCAAAAAGTTTTTTTTGCAAACCTGTGCTACCGGACTTGTTTTTATATCCAGTACTCGACCGGATATGTGCTAGTTATCCGCTATTCGGCCGGATGGTATTTGGGCCGCCGGATAGTTACCAGATATCAGTTTCATTTCTAGTCTCATGATATGTAATTTTTTTGTGGAAAAATGTAAGTTTCATGAAAAAATCAGGCAGCTTGAAATAACCTTCTTTTCTCCATGTTCAACCACTCGATATTTTGAATTTTGAGTGGGCTTCTCTGTCACCGACTAATACCAAAAATTTATATAAGGCAAGGGTTTTTGAATTCTTCAAATTTCATTATTATTTCGAGTGGAACGTGGCTCACGAAGAAATTCAATGTAGTTGAGGCAAAAAATATCAGTTACCATACATATTTTTCAGTGCAGAAAAGGCACGTTGTGAGGAGTTGTAAATGATATTTTTTTGAATTTCAGCCCTATATTCATCAAAACACAAAGATTGTGCTTACCTAACAATATTTAGTGAATCATTTTGAATGCAGATATTCGCAGAGCTAATCACTATGGAACTTTGATATCTTGAACCAAAGATCATTACATTCGTTTCACTGGTGTTCATAACTGAACAGTGGTCGATTGCAAGTTTGACAAATCTATTCATACCTGCATTGACAATGTCATAAGCATTTTCTGACATTTTCGCCGAAAAGCTGTAATATATTTGAGTTTCAGCCAGCGTATGCATCCAGCGTATGTACAATCGCGAATAGACCGTAGTAAATGAGAAGTATACATAGAGACCAGTGAAGGGACGAGTATGGATCCTTGAGGTATCTCAGATTTGAGTTATGAGATATGTCAGCTGCAATTCACATCTGCTGTTTATCTTTCAAATAGTCCATAAAATATGCCAGAGCTTTGGCAAAAAAACCAATATATTCCAGAATACCCAACAAAAGATTCTGACTTATAGTATCAAACGCCTGGCTGAAAGCTAGTAGGACTAACACCATACAATTGTTTTCATATATTGCTTCATTACCTTATCCTAGACATGTAGAAGAGCGGTTGTACAACTATGTCCTTCCAAAATCCCGATTGAGTAAAAGGCAACAGGGAAGAGTTAAAAAGCGTGTTTTCAATTTGAAACTACATGACTTTCTAGGATTTTTGACAGTACAAGCAGAATATTTTCTTATTGGTCAGTGGGCTATGGTTGAAGACTGACAGTAAACAAATCTAAAAAAATAAACTTTAAAGGTTCAAGCCAGTCTCGAATATATCGACACAGTAGGTCCTGGCTAATATCTCGAAGGGTGTTGGATTACATCCGAAAGGCGTCAGTGCAGAAATCTTCACAGAAAATTTCCTGCATATGCAATTGGCAACACAACTGAAAGAGTCGACCTTCAATTTTGGAACGGGCACACTTGCAGACTGGTTTCAGGCTCATTAGCCACTCATCAGTGCAAGATAGTGGCCATCATCGATGATGTCCATTTCTTTAGATTTGTTTACTGCCAGTCTTCAAACATAGCTCACTGACTAATAAGAAAGTTTCGGATATGCACTTGATTAGTACCTTGTCCACTAGATGGAGTGACATTTTGTTGTTCGCTCCAACTTAGGAAGAGGAATGAAATACTCTGAAAGAATAACGATTTTCAATTATGGAATATAATTGACTTTAGGTGGATGATGGCCACTATCTTGCACTGACGAGTGGCTAATGAGCCTGAATCCGGTCTGCAAGTGTGCCGGTTCAACTCTTTCAGTTGTATTGCCAATTGCATATGCAGGAAATTTTCTGAAGATTCCTGCACTGATAGGCGTCAGTCCATTCAACCTACTGTGTAGGTATATTCGAGCCTGGCTTGAACGTTTCAAGTTCATTTCTTTAGACAAGCAGAATACTTATCCCTCTTGAATCCTGGAATTTCATTCGACTCTGCTTTTTAGACAGTACCTTCACAATGACTCTCTTCTTGACAGTGTGGTAGATATTCTCAGTTGAACATAAATTTATGATGTAGGTACGATATGAGGGCAATACATCATTTCATTTCCAAATTTCTATTGTCAGAAAAGTATATACTTTTCAAACAGTTTTAGTAAGCTAGCCCTCTTTGTTTGTTTGTTTTGGCAAATTTAGTAGCTGCAACACGCATTTAGTTTTGATCACAAAACAAGTCAATACATTCTGTATCATTGCAAATCCAAGATGACCGCAGCTACCGTAGATTACTGAGGAGAGTGATGTGATGACTGCTACAGAGGACCTCCCGAATTATTTGTTAGTTTTTAGTACATTATCTGCATCATATTTTTTTTAATAAAACCGTTCAACATCATTTTTTTACCCATTTTATTGATCATATCATTTCGTATCATTTCGTGGATATGGTATCCACCGTTTCTTAAACATTTTTTTCCACGTACCTTGTGCAACTAAATATTCGTAAAATCCTTCATTTCTTTTCAAAACGTACTCTCCTGTGATTGTTATATTTGCCATTTTCACTGCACTACTGTTGAATACCGGATTTATACTAGCCTTTCCCAGTTTCCCGAAATATTATCGATAACAATGCTTAATTTTGGTTAGCGATAAATTTTTATCAGATTAGACGATATCCGGCTTAAAGTTTCATCGAGTAAATTATTTTAACAGTGTAATCATCCACCTTCCATTTTTCAATTACTTTTTATTTGTATAGGGCGAAAAAAGTTTTCGTTGGGTATTTTTGATTATCTCAATTCCTCATCTCATCATTATGAACTGAGGACTTAGAATTTTGTAACGATACACAACTCTACGTGTTGTGTATCGTTACAAAATGCCCTACAGAAGAGCGGTGGCAATTTTTGAAGTTTTGTTGCGACAACCCTATCGAAATAAAAAAGATTTTTCAACTCTGCCAACAGAGCAAGTCCCGAAGTTTGATAAACTTTACAAAGTTCAGCCGCTTGTTGACACACTGTCAGAATCGTATTTGAAATAGTTCGCGCCTAATGAACATTAAGCCATTGATAAATCAGTGATTCGCTACAAAGGAAAAAGCAGCTTACCCCAATATATGCCTAATACACATATAAAAAGTTGCTACAAAGTCTAAGTACGTTGTGATGAGACAGGTTATGTCTCACAATTTTTAATATATACTGGCAAAGTTGGTGATCTTACTGAAAATGCGCTAGGACAACGAGTCATCAAAGATCTTTCAAAAACACCTACTCTCTAACAAAATATATGCACGTGGAAATGCTCGAAAAAACCGTAAGCAGATGCCAACTGACTTACGAGATGACAAGCTGCTGAGACGTGGTGATTCAGATCACAGAGCTTCCAAAGACGGACTAGTGGCTCTCAAGTGGATGGACAAAAAAGCAGTGCTATTCGTTTCTAATTTTCATGACCCTACAGAGTTGAAGAGTGTTTCTAGAAGAAGGAAAGATGGCTCTAGAGAGGAAGTCACATATCCAGTACTTGTTAATGACTATAATCATCACATAGACTATGTTTGACATTTTAAAATCACTTTACAAAATAGATCGCAAATCAAGGAAGTGGTGGCACCGAATATTTTGGTACTTTGTGGATACTACAGTGGTGAACTCATGTATCATATTCAAGTCTTGATTACCAAGTGAAATGACCTTGAAAGAGTTTCGAATTTCTGTGGTTTCTGGACTAATAGATGCTATTTCTAGGAAATCAAAGTGATGAAAATATAACTAACAAATTCAAAACTATCGTGCCACAGGAATTGAAATTTGATAAGAACTTGCATATGCCCGTTCATACAAGTTCACGACGATGTGCATATTGCGCCACTACGAAGAAACCACACAGCACCGTTTGGATGTGTTCTATATGTAGCCATATCATATAAGGCTCAGGACGTGGAGTGTACTCCAGATAACTAAGCCTAAGGTTCGAGTGAGGAATGGGAAAAAATACCAGCCTGGTCCAAACAGAGCTGGCTGGTATCTCAATCGCCACAAGAGAAATAACCAGGAAAGGAATTTCTGGCAAAAACATAACAATCTGCACTGACAGCAGACAAGCCCTATTAGCCTTGAAGAGACAATGGATAATCTCAGGGCTAGTACTAGAGTATCACCAAGATTCAGCCAAAGCCTCGGTAGATAATAAAATTATCCTGAGGTGGGTTAAAGGGCACGCTAGTAGTAAGGTTATCGCATTGCCGACTCTTTAGCCAAAGAAGCGGCTGGACTAAGAATTTTAGGACCCAGATGCACTTACTGCCTGATAACTTCGACAATTGCGGAACTAGCCAAATGTTACACCCATGCTCAATCTCTAAAGAGATGGGATGAAATCAAAGGATGTAATCTTGCCAGGATCACCTTGGGCGACCCTGGGAAGCTGGCGCCGAAGAAATATCTGGCGATGACCAGGAAAAATCTACGCTTAACAGTAGGATTTCTGACTGGCCACTGTCAACTAAGGAAACACACCTATAATATGAGGCTAGTGGACACACCTCTATGAAGGATGTGTGAACAGGAAGATGAGACTGTCCTATGCGAGTGCCCGGAGTTATCATCAATAGGAGAGTGTGTATATTACTGGAGTTTTTTTCCAACACCAAATCGTTATTTTTAACACCTCGACACGTGTTTCGATCACCAAGTGATCATCTTCAAAGAGGAAGATTAACTGGAAACTAACGCGAAGCTAACGTTATTTATGCTATATAGATATCCCATTAAGGTAAACCATCCAGGTGTACCACCCATACAGGTATACCAACTTAAATTAATTTTACAATTTTGCCTATATATTATTTTACAATATATGTTTAACTGTTATGAAAATCTTTTTCACAATATTGCCTATCTAAATTTATTTTTGCAATGTGTCCTCATGTAGTAATCAGTTTGTCCATAATATTTTGCATCGCAGTACTTGCATTCAATTTCGTGAATTCCAGACTGTTCCGAATTCCTCGTCTTTTGGACTTCCCAAAAGACTCCGTGATATATGACTTGTTTCAAAAACCACCTTCATACCTAGTTCCTTGAAAATCTTTTCAAAGTTCTTCATATATTGGTGGTATGAAACTGGGATGTATTTATCTTGGTTTTTGTCTTTTCTGAAAGTCGAGATTTCGTTCATTCTTAACCTAAACTTCTTCTTCCTCAGTATGTCATCTACAATACCCCTCGAGAAACCGTTAGTGGCTGCTATTTCCTGTATTGTACGTCTTTCTTTTGTGGACCTATCATGTGTTAGAGGGAAAGTCAAAAGACGCTAAAAAATTCAACCCAGCACGTTTGTGCTGTCCACAGTGATGTGAATTGTCAGGAATATACCTGTACGTGCTTGTTTCTTTTCTAAATATATCGTATTCTAACCCTCCATATTGGCTCCTCATTACCAAAACGTCAAGAAATGGTACTTGTCCCTTATTTTCTAACTCATACGTGAATTTTATTGATGGACATCTATTATTTAAAATGGAAACAAAGTCCTCAATATTCGATTTTTTGGTATCGAATATCGCGAAAATATCAACCACATACCTTAGCCAAATCCTAGGGAAATACTTCGGCTTATCTTTGGTTTCCATTTCGAATCTGCTAATGAACAGGTCTGCCAGGTAGGGGGACAAGGGGTTTCCCATGGCCGTTCCTGTTGTTCATAAAAGCAACCTTCTACCTGTTACCGATTTTGTTTCATACACAAATTAGTAAGAGAAACGAATTCATCGATTCCTTCTTTTTGAAGATTTCTTCCTCTTTGAAGATGATCACTTGGTGATCGAAACACGTGTCGAGGTGTTAAAAATAACGATTTGGTGTTGGGAAAAAACTCCAGTAATATTCATTACTACACCAAAGGTTCCAAACAGTGCATCATAAGAAAGTGTTTGTTCGGCGAGTCGTGGCCTACACCTGTCGATATAAAGGAGATGTCTCGCAGAGAACTGTCCACCTTCCTGGAAAAGACAGGATGGACGATGACCTAGGAGGACAACTCCTCGGGAGGATGTATAACGGGTCACATGTGGCCTAAGTGCTGTGGGCTTACTCACCCTCACTACTCTACAGATACAGAGATACAAAACCATATCATATTTAACATATTTTTTTCTTTTGTCTCGATCCTACGTTTGTTTTGTTTCACTTCGCGAATAAATATATCAATCAATACATCTTTCCACGAAAGTTTGTTTTTTCCGAAGAAAAATTAGATCCGTAACTTTCTAATATAAATTGTTCTGTAAATGGGTTTATCTGTTGTGCAATAAATTTTGTTTATCTTTTTTTTCAAAATTAGTCCAAATATTGGCTCAACCATTTGTTACAATTGGTTGACAAATAATTCTTATTTTTTTTGTTGCGGACTTCGAACCTCCAAGATAAAGTATACCAGGTAGCAACAGCGTTCCTAGCGTTCATATTTCAATAAAAATAGATAAGATGAGTGGATTTATTTTCAATACTTTCTCGATATATGTTCACTGGTGGATTTGTAATCTAAAAACAAATAAAACCCAAGTGGATATACGAGATCTGTTCAGAAAATAAGGTGACTGACTCTGATTTTGAAAAATATGTACAACTAGTACAAGCTTTTTACAGAAGTTCGAGCAGCACATCAGCAACCGATTAAAATGCTGAGAAACTGGAAAAAGTTGTTATGGATGATTATCGAATCTGTAATTGTAGACTAGGGAGGATGAGTCTAGATCCATAGCACTTAGGTCACATGTGATCCATTGTACATCATCCCGAAGAGTTGTCATCCTAGGTCATCGTCTATCCTGTCCTTTCCAGGAAGACTAGGATAATTCTTCTTTATATTGGCAGGTGTAGGCCAAGACTCGCCGAACACACACTCTCTTTGGCAACCTTGAGGTGTCTCACGGTGACCTCTGCGAAGGTTTTGGAACATGCAGCGACATTACTGTTGTTGCGCGGCTTCTTCAACCTTTTTGGGGTTTCCTCCGTGGAGCTGCACAAGTGGGGAAGCTTTCCTGCAGGAGCAGCCGGTGACTTGCCTTTATTTAAGGCGGAGCTTTTGGCGCCCGCCGCATTAAGTGCCCTTACTGTTCGAGGTAGAGTGGGGGAGAAGGAGGGTGCACTTATAACTGCTGCCACTCCTGCCTCCTTTGTTCTCTTTCTCCTTTTGGCCTTGGCGCCGCAAATGCGCTGACGCCTTGGTCTTTGTATTACATCACGAGGTGATCTGCTATGTTCAGCCTCATTCCAAGCGGTAGATTGAGGTGAACATTTCTGTTCATCACCAGCCATCGCCTTAGACTGAGGTGAGCACTTCTGTCCAGCTTCGGGATTTATCGAATCACTATTAGAGAAGTATCTGAGGATGTCGGCATATCGGTCAGCTCATCACATGCATTGTTTTTGTAAATTTTGGACATGAAGTGAGTGGCAACAAAGTTCATTCCAAAATTTCTGAATATTGACCAAAAAAACCAACACATGAACATCGGTCTGGAATTATTGGATGACGTCAACGGCGATCTAGATTTGCTCAAAAGGATCATAACTGGTGATGAATCATGGGTATATGGTCATGAAATCGAAACCAAAGTCCAGTCGTTTCAATGGAAGAGCCTAAGAGAGACCAAAAAAAGTACACCAAGTTCGGTCAAATGTCAAGGTTTTGCTTACTGGTTTCTTTGGTTACCGTGGCGTAATGCATCAGAAGTTCTTCCTATATGATCGTACTGTCGATGAGGAGTATTACCTCAAAGTTGTGTGCCGCTTGCGAGAAGTAATACGCATAAAACACCGGGCATTATGGAAAAACAATCCATGGCTTTTGCACCTCCCAACCAGCAAAATTGTGTTATAATTCCATGGTGCTGCTACAGTTTCATTTGTTGGTATTTTATAATTACAAAATGCTAATTGATTAGACGAGCCGAGAATATGATACTGTAGTAGGCAATGAAAGTGTGTTATAAATTTTTCATAGAAACGTTTATGAAATAAAATTACAAATACGTTATAAAATAGTCAGGAATTTATCACAGAAACATTTCTACAACTGACTTATAAAACATATTTTCCTATAAATGTAGGTAAATTATTTTGTAGAAGTTTTACAACACTTTTCTGTGAGTTTTGTATGCTGTTCATGAAACTATTTCAAGATTATTTTATAACTGCTTCCTGTAGCTTCAATAAAATTATTTCATTAGAATGCTTTCGAACACAATTTTGTTTTCATTACCATATTACCAATTCAATGATAATTTCCCAACTATTCCATAATTTGGTGTATTTACTACAATTCCAAAACAATAAAATAACTATTATAAAATCCAATTACTTCCGCTAATATATATTTGCTGCCGCCAAGAAGAAAATGAATCACTTAAGAAGAACCAGCTGACATTGATTTTAGAGGTCGTGTAATGAAGTGTTATTTGTCAAGTTTAATTTATAAACCTAATAACGTCGTGTAATATTGGTCATTGGAAAAAAAAATGAGAAAAGTAGTTCTTTTTAGTCGAAGACTCACGTAATCTAGTGCATCAAATTTGTTCTTGCTGAAAACATGATTAATAATGATTAAAATTCGTCGATTTAAGTGGAGCACCATGTTTATATACACTCAAACCACTAGCTCAAAACTCCTTCGGAGTTTTGAAAGGCTGAATGCCTTTATAATCGATGGAAGAAGTTTTTTAGCCAAAAAATCCCGACAGAAAATATTTATCCAAACAATACGTGACAAATCGAGTTTTCATTATCATAGAAATCTATAGCTTTAAAAGTAGTCCGACTCTTTCGCAATACCATCCCTCCTAGAACTAAGTGTTTTTAACAATTTTTCATGGGGGTAACACAGAAGCTAAAACACATTTAAACTCTTGGTATTGATACCAAATCATCTCATGGAACAACGCCATTTTAAAATGATAGCAATTCGGAATACTGGCATTAGACGAGTTGAAAATATGAAATACTGCACATATAGTGATTTGCAGATGAAAAGTATGTAGATGTTATAAGATTATATTATTTAAAACAAACTGAGTTGATTTGCAACTAGAAATGTAATACGTCGACAGAGTGAATTTTTGTATAATTAATATTTTTTCCAATTTTATTAAAAGAGTGGCGCACTTGAATTTTACTAATAATAGGTTATATATTTGACAATTAAATTTTATTTGCAGTTAATATTTCAATCTTTGAAGCACAAACAATATATTCATCGGTTTAAAGGTACAAAAGTGAAATTATTAAAATGGCACCAACCTTTCTATTTGTTAGTTTTCAGTTGGTGACATATCTATTATATTTTCCGAGTGTCCAATACAAAATTACTTCTTGCACCTGCATTATATTTCATAACGCTAACTAAAAAAACTTTTATAAAATTGTATTTCAATTATTTAATAAGACTCTTTACGAAACTACTTTTTAAAAGTGTTAGAAAAATTTTGTAGTAACTGCCGAAATCTTTATGAAACTGTTTTGTAATGTTTGCAAAAGGCGTTACAAAATATTATTAAAGACTTGAATGTTTTATAAAACGGTACAAACTTCCTATTTATAGCTGTTTTATGAACACGTCGAAAACATTTGTGGGAGAAATACAGTTTTATAGTTTGTTTCTCCGAAACGTTTTCACAACCATTATAAAATATAAAATCGCTAGTTGGGCTGGTCACTCGTCAATGCTTGTTAGAAATTTTTTGGTCAAAAACAACACCCTAATCATATCTGAGCCACCGTATTCACCAGATTTGGTCTCCTGTTCTCAAAATTGAAAAAATCCATGAGAAAACGACGTTTTGGGTCGATTGAGAAGATAAAAATCAAATCGAATCAGAACTGCTTCGAGGGTTGAAAAAACGCTGGGAAGTGTATTATATCAGAGACGAACTACTTTAAAGTGGACAAAATAAAAAGTGATGAATAACCAATATTTTATGTGAAACTGAAAATTCACCTTATTTTTTGAACAGACCTCGTACACTTCATTTTGATATGTTCCACTGAACTATATATAAATCCCTGTGATCATTCAAAAAACGCAGTTCAACAAACGGTTACAGTCTAGAAAGAGATAATAATAACAGTTTTTCATCAACATGGCCCCAATCGCAGGAAAATATCAACACGTTGAGAATGTTAAGTTCTTCGAACTTATGAAGAAAGCAGGTTAGTAGCTGTAGAGCCTACATTATTCCATCGACTTCTTAGTTTTTCTTGAATATTTTGAAAACTTTTTTTTTTAATTTTAGATATTTTATTAACTCAACCTCTAACGGAAGCAAGAAACTCTTTGGAAGGTTCGAAATAGATGAACATTTCAACCTAGCAGACCACTGTTATAATATTCATGCAGTCATTGTTCACTATGGTTCTGGCGTTGAATGTGGCCATTATTACGCCTTGGTCAAAGAAGAAACGGGCTGGTTTAAGTTTAACGATAGTCGTGTCACGAAGTGTTCTGGCCATGCATTGAATTTATTGGAGCCTCTGGAGACTCTCTACTTTTTGTTCTATAAGAGAGAGGACATTGTTAGATCAAGATCTTCAGATGATGTGGTGCTGCAGGTTTTTCCGGGTTTTCCTGCAGCTGAAAAAGCAAATGCGCCACTGGAATCAATGAAGTCGCCCCAGAGCGCCAATTAATTTTTATTGTTGTTTTTGAAAACTATTGACAATTTTCATTTACCTTGTATGTGATAAAATGGTATCAAGCCTCCGTAATTAATACAGATGACATAATTGTTCTTGAAATGTACTTTGTTATCTATAATCGCTTTGGATATAATTGATAAATGTAGTTTTAAAAAACTAAAAAACACGCTTTAAAGAACATCTAACTGAAAAGTTAAAAATAATTTTTTATAAAGCTCAAAACAATAACGAACGAAAAATAATAATTTTATTGTGAAAAAAGCGTGGGCGCTTTTTACTTTTTAGTTTCATATGCTATAAAAGCGTGTTTCTTAGTTTTTTCAAACTATATTTATTTTTTACTTTTTAGTTTCATATGTTATAGAAGCGTGTTTTTTAGTTTTTCAAACTACATTTATTTTTCAAATCAATATTTTGATTTGATATGTAATGTCAAGCACCTCAATTCTAATTTTTCAATTATTTGAAATATTTAAGTAACTGAATTTTTTAGGTGTACATTTTACGATAACGTTTTCATTGTTGAAATTCATATTCTGGTTTGCTTTCAAACATTCGATTTAATTTTAAAATGAATCTTTCATTTCGTTCAAAACTTCTTTCTGTATTAAATCAGGGGTAATTGAAAATATTTAAATATCTAAATATTCCATCTGTAGTACAAAATTTCGCTAACACTTATAATTCTTGAAATCGAGTTTTTATTTTGATTTTCTTTTGAACAACCTATCAAGGAGATCACGTACAGCGCCATCTGCCCGCGAATAGATCAAGCAATAATAATGTCGATAATTCTGTCAATACAGATCCCGAGCATTCATACATACAAAATTACATACATACAGCTGAAGCTAATATAAGGCGTGTAAAAAAATATATTTTTCTGAAATTCATGATTATTTCTCGATTCACCGGAATTTCGGTAACATTGTGAAAATGGTTTTGGTTTAATGGTCCAACTGAGAAAAGTGAATATTTCATTGCTTCAGGTAGATAAAAAAATGAAAGATAAAAATGACTGAAAAACAGGCGAATACATGGAGTAATTTTCATTTTTTGATATGTATCATCAGTCGTCAAAAAGTAGATGTTCACCTAGTCAAAAAAAGTTGGTGTCCACTCTGGAGATGATAAAATACTACTCTTAAATACTACTTCTGAATATTACTCCTGAGAGTCATAGATCTATATTACCTTTTCAACATACTTAGTTAACCCTGTAAATGGTTTATTACTGTTGGGTAATGAAGGCTATTATTATTATCATTATTATTATTATTTTTTCCAACCAAAGTGTGCGCTGGTCAGGCACTATCTCCCGAAGCCCTGATACATTCGGGAGGGCGCGCCAGCATTATCAACCAATGACCACTCCCCATACCGTTGGTTAAGTGATCATTGGGTCCGAGAATTATGTACCCTGAGCAAGCGCAGTGAACCAAGAATGACAGCCTACTGCATCTGTGCGGCTAAGATTTCTGCCTTAGTGCGGCAAGCCGGTATAATTTCAAGATTCGAGAGTAGAGAAGTCCACCAAGGACTCCAATAATCGGAACAACCATCTTGACAGAGTGATCTGGATAGTCTGCGGAGTTCGAAGAGAAAAACTCGATATTTCATCTGTTTTTCCTCCTCTTTTCTGACGATATTCATCTCGCCAGGAGCTGTAAACTCCACGGCAAATATCGTTTTGCTCTGGTGGTCGAGAAGGACTACATCAGGCTCATTAGCTTGCATGAGCCTGAGGGTGGGGAACGAGTAGTTCCAATAAATTCGACACTTCCCGTTCCCCACAATGCATTCTTAGGGCCGCGTTATGTCGATGGATATAGCCCGAGACCGCATACGCTGGGCATGCTGATAGCAAGTGAATTAGGGTCTCGGTCGTCTCGCGGCAGGCCCTGCACCTTGTGTCAGGAACCTCTATACCAGCACGCGACTGCCGTAGACTAAGGTGTTGAAGACACCATCCTGGCAAGCCATGATGAACCCCTCAGTTTCCGACTTCAGCCCACTCGACCTGAGAAAAGCGAACGTCAGGCGCTTCAATAAGCCAAGATCTCGAATGTTATTGAAGAAGACACCATGCATTGGCTTATCCTTGTATCCCCGCAGAAGTGAGGTAATCTCTGCGGCTTTGATCTGAGCTTTTTGCTGAACGGGTTCCAACTTGGTGACAGAGTTGTTGTCACTTCGTTCAGAGTCGAAAACTATACCGAGTTCATCAGCTGCTCGGGCAGCTGCCCTAAGGAGAAATGCTTCAATTCCTGCTCTCTCATGGTCACGGACCATGCAGAGAAGGAGATCCGAACTCCTGACGACTTTACAGGCTGTATCCAGTACCATTTTATCATGGAGACACTCCAAACTCAAAAGTCCACGGCCTCCCTGTTGCCGGGGAAAGCATAACCGTGGAACGGACGATTTGGGATGCAAACTTCTATAGAGATGAATCTTTTTTCGGATCTTCACGTCGAGTTGATACAGCTCCTCCCGAGTCCACTTCACAACTCCAAACGTGTAGAGTTAGATTGGAACGGCAAGTATATTTGTTGCAGCAGTAGATGCTTCCATCTACGAGCTGCACATCCTCATCGTAGTCCCCGCATCGTCCTCTTTTGAGATGGACCATTGCACGTTCGTCTAACCCGAATTTCATACCGATAGCATGCATGTACTCTTTCACCACCCTCAAGGACTGATGGGGATCCTTCTCTCCAGAGGCATAAAGTTTAAGCTCATCCATATAAAAGAGATGGGTGACCTTGTGCTTCCGGTTTCTGGGGGTGCCACAGTTATACCCTCGAGTATTTTTGAGCGCAACGGATAATGGCAATAGTGAGATGCAGAAGAGAAGGAGAGTTAGGGAATCACCCTGAAATACACCCCTACTGAAAGTGACCTATCTCGTTTGGACTCTTGCTTGACCAGATGTTATGGTGAAGCGAGTTCGCCAAAGTAGTATCAGTTGTTCAATGCATCTCACTATATTGTCGGGTACCGCAAGGCATCTGAGCAAATGCAAGATATTATTATTATTATTATCATTCTAGGATACCCTGAAGACAAAGCCTCTGCTGCTGACAAAACTAGGGCAGTTGTGACGTTGACCATAGATGGCGATAAAGTAACTACCAAAGTTGAAGAAGTCGGAGACGTTGTTGAAAACCACTTTGTTTTGGGTCAGGAATCTGATGAAAAACACCCTGGAGGTTTCGTTTCGAAGGTATGCACCAACACTTTCTTCCTAGAAATAAATTGATTGAACTTTTTGAAATCTTTCAGACCACCATCACAAAAGAAGGAGATGGACTGAAATTTGTATCGAAAGAAAGTGGGGGTAAGTTCCTCACCAGATTGTACAAATTCACCGACGCTGGATTTGAAGTGGTAATATGTTTTCAATATAGGTATTCAATATTGTTCTAACTGTTTCATCTTGTTACAGGTCTTGAATTTTGAAGGCTTCGAGGCAAAGAGAATCTACAAGAGGCTATAAAAGGATTTTAATGTCACCGAGCAATCTATCGTATACATATTTTTATGATTTTTTTTCAGTAAATTGAAAAAAAAAACATTTGAAATATTTCATTTCTTGAGTAATCTGTATATCTGAGTTAGCAACTTTAGATCGGTCATCTAAGATGAAATAATGAGAAAAGGTTTGATTGTAATGAATAGTCTGAAAAATAACTCAACTGATTTAAAAAATTCTTTCACCTATAGGAAGCTACATTATCGTTATGTAAAAATTTAGGAATCCATACTGTGGGAGTCACTGGGGTGTGCAATATTTAGAGTGCGTTGTGAAATATTTTACAAAACTGAACCCAACAAAACAGTTCTATAAATAATTATACGACTTTATTGGACTTTGCATGGGTACAAATCAGAGTTTTAGTTTTTATCGTGAAACACAGCTTGATAATGATAGCTTGTCTCACCTATTCATATTGATGATGAAGATGAAGATGAAGAAAATACTTTCGTGTAATTTCAACTAAGTTTAGTATTTGTCAGGACCGGTTTTGGTTTGTTAGACCATCATCAAGTAGTTGAAAATAATGTATCAAACCGAAAGCGGTCGTAACAAATAATAAACTCAGTAGATATTAAGCTTTATTGTTTATGCTATATTTAACGATGAAAGGAATATCGAAACTGTTTCAGTAGTTTCATAAAATATCGTATACAGCTGACCGCCTTGGGGAGCCTTACTCACATTGATATTCCAGAATTGAGTTATCTGTTGATCCCTTACGTTCTCGTAGAGCAAAACGCCACCTCAGTACTTCATTCAGGCTTGTTCTTCAAAGATAATTGGGGCCATCAATGCATTTGTTGTTCAGCTCAGCATCACTGATGGGATCTTTGGCGGGTAGAAACGGCGCTGTCTGCTTTTGAGTCATAAATGCGTCGTGTTTGGGCTCTGGTTAACATCTATTTTGATGACTTTGGTGTTCATTTGTTACAAATGAATTCAAGCGGCTTGTCAAACCGATGCGACGGGATAGAACTATTGTTGCATTCACATCCCAATTTCAAAATGAAAATTGATAGTTGCTAACATAATTTTGTTGAAGTTAGTTTCCCCCAAGATCATGGGATACCGGGCTTCGCTCAAGGAGTTGATCAGCAATTGTATAGTCGTTGGAATAAAAAGATGAACATACAATTATAATAGGTCGAAGCATTTTGCTTCAAGGGTAGGACCACCATACTTGAGCGTTGCAGGATATTTCGGAATGTTCGGAAATATTATGAATTGGTCTCAAATATTCATCATCAAAAGCACGCGATACAGGTGTAACCGGAAATATTCTTTCTGGATGATGGACAGAGAGTTGTTCCGTGATGTTCCCTGCTCATGCCTCAACATTCCAAACCGTTCTGTGATGTTCTGGAATATTATGAAGTAGGGGGCTACCACAACGTATAACCTTGATTGTTCCACAATTATCTGGTATATTTCCAGATGGTTTCCCAACATTCCGATTAAGTATTATGTGAAAGCTATTTCCCGAAATTTTTGGCCTTGACCTGCAGATTTTTATGCAGGACATCCCAACTAGCAATTTTATATTTTATAATGGTTGTGTCAACGTTTAGGAGAAACAAATTATATAACTGTATTCCTCCCAGAAAAGTTTTCAATATGTTTATAAAACAACTATAAATAGGGAACTGACACCGTTTTGTAAAACATAATAGTCTTTAATAATATTTTGTAAGGCCTTTTGCAAACACTACAAAACAATTGTATAAACATTCCGGCAGTTACTATAAAACTGTTCTAACACTCTTAAAAAGTAGTTCCGTAAAGAATCTTGTAAAATAATTGGAATACAATTTTATAAAAGTTTTTTTAGTAATTCCAAGTAAGCGTTATGAAATATAATTTAGTAAATTCTGTGTCATTGTGAATCCAAGATGGCCTCAGCTGCAAAATGACGGATTACATATTTTTCCAAAACTACCTCAATATGGGTATCACATGACAGCTTGACTAGTAGGGTAATAGTACATTTTGAAAAAGATGCAAATTCAAGATGGCCACAGTTACAAAATGGCGGATTGCATATTTTTCAACAACTACCCCAATATGGTTATGAAATGACAGAGCTTGACTAGTAGGATGTTCCTCAATTTGGGTTATTACAGCAAATGCAAGTTTGAACAAAATAAAGTTGAGTTCAATTCATGAGTTTTTCAATTTCACTTCGAAAAGTATTCAAATTGATGTTTCAAATGTTGGGTTTTAATTTTTAAAGGGATTTGTTTCTAATTCACATATTGGCAACAGCGCCTATATCAAGTTGAAACAATTTATACGTACTTAGATATTCTACTTAAAAAAAGGAAAATTATCTTTATAAATCAACAATTGAGGCAAAGTATAAATTATAGTTAATACTACCTCCACAAGCCACATAAACACAGTTGTTTTGTTATTTATTTATATAGAGGAAGATAGGTTAGGAGCACAAAATGTCATATGTCACAGAATGTCTCGGAACTCGGAACATAAGTAAACATAACTGCAGCCTCTGAAATATGTCATCTTTGTATGTCTAATACAGGTAACAGATTCATTGTCCTTTATTAGCCATAACCGATGTTGCCAAATGGTGAAATAGAAACGAATCCCTTTAAACGGTGAATGCATTAGGTATTTCATTCCTCTATTTTGAGTATTTAAATAATTTTTCAAAGAAAAGGTTGAAATGATAAGTTTAAAATGCGTTGTTCAGGAGGAACATGGCGGATTACATATTTTTCCAAAACTACCTCAATATGGGTCTCAAATGGCAGGGCTTGACTAGTAGAGTAGTAGTACATTTTGAAAAAGATGCAAATTCAAGATGGCCACAGTTACAAAATGGTGGAAGGCGGATTACGTGTTACCTTATAATACTGAAACGCTAAATGAACTAAACAGAATGAGAAGAATTGAGTAACAAAATCATAAACTAGGAACTTGAAAATAAAATTAGTAAAATTATTTTTATGTTAAACGGTTTTATTGAAAAATAAAGATAATAATGATCTAGATAATGTACTAAAAATTAAAAAATAATTCAGAAGGTCCTAGGTAGCAGTCATCACACCACTTTCCTCAGCAAAGTACGGTATTGATCAGATGAAGGTTACGCTACGGACAACGATTTTATCAGTTTTTTATCCGATCAATAGTGTAAATTGCTGAGGAGACTGGTGTAATGTCTGCTACCTAGGATCTTTCTATGGATTTTCCTCAATATTTTGTAAGGTATATTGGAAAATCTAGTCATCTGATGATGCCAACTTGGTTAACGAATCGCCCGTCGAGAGAGAGCATTTTGTTCTGTTAAGGGAAGAGTGTTTTCAGTAGATTCATTTTACGCGATGATATGCTTTCTATTTATGAAATGATCACTATGAAATATGTGAGAGGTATCAAAACAAAACTCATCAAATTGTGTGAGACAAATATGGAATAGAAATTAAATGATTCAGAAGTAATAATGCAACCAATTGAATCCAAAGTGTATGGTGTCAAAATATTTCGAAATTAGACGTAGTACACTTGAAATTACATTTACTGTATACACGCATAGCTTATTGCGTTATATTTTGCAGGTCGAATTCTAGCATTTTGGGTCAGAAAAAGAAAAATCAGAGGAAGGCAAAGAATAAGAAACGTGCTCTAGAACGTCGGCATAGTGAAAGTGAAGCTTCAGGTGATGAAAAGAAGGAAGAAGATTTCGACAAGTTTCATTCTGTTGACAAGATAAGTAGTGATTCACGCCATGAAGAAAGTAACAAATCCGACAATGATATTTTTCATTTTGAAGGAGATGGCTATTCACACTGAATTTGATTGAAATGTTCTAATGTAGTACATCAATCAGTTGAATATATTTTTTTGTATCATTTTCATATCGATACAATATTGTTATCAGTATAACTGATTGTGTTTTCGAATATATAGAATTGGCAAATTGCAAATTTGCTATTTTGTTTATTTTGGTGAGTATTGTAAAGATTGTTAAAGTAAGGAAACCACAAATATGCAGTGGTTTGACTTTTTTAAAAGGTTTTTGTTTGGTAATGTAGTACTAGGATAGGTATAGCAGATGATTATTTTTAATTGTTAGCAAAAAAGTTGATGAATAAAAACATCAATATTGATTTTCAATTCAAACTTCACCCCTATCCAAAGTTTTTCCAAAATTTTTTCCCAGAGATCTAATAGTTTTGGTTACGGAGCTGTATAACATCCCTACTTCTGATTCATTTCAATAAGACTAAGTACTAAAATATATTCTTTTCGAGGAAAAAATGTAGGAATCTGGTTATACTTTGCGGTTTGTTAATTGGCAAGAGTGTAGGACTGGCTTAGGCCTCATATAATTAAACATTTTCTGGCTGGATTTGCGACTAAATGGACGTTAAAATTGTTTATAAATGGTTACACTGGGTTATGTTGTTGAAAACTTTTTATTTGAAGAAAGCATATACGGTATGTTCCAGGATTGATGTTATGAGAGGTGTGTTGAATTAAAAAAAGTTTTCGGGAAAGAAAGTTTTTGGCTTTCTGCTACTCCATCTTGATACAAAAAAAAAACAGTTAGTGACACGCCTATCGTCAAACTTAAACCAGACTGTTTTGTCTTTGGAGCTACAAAAACACGACATTAAAACGGGCAAAACTTTTGAAAAAACCTGATAACATTCTCCCCCGCTGATGATGTCTGCCACACTAGCAGATGAACCATTTGTACTTCAGGTTCTATTCTCCCAATACCAAAATTATGAAAATCAACCCATTCAACATTAAAGATGATAACCCAAATACATGGTCGTGTACAACAAATGGACTACAGACGATCAGAAAATACATTATTTGAGATTCAACTCATCCGGCATTTCTCTTTGTTTGTATGAACTGAAATTCAGTGAATCCCGATCATTTTCTTGGGAGGAATGAGAAAATTCTTTCATGGTGACGTTTTATGAAGATTACATAATGAAATGGGATAAAGCTCTGAGTTAGAAACTCCGTAAAGAAACAATTCTTCAATATTTTGGTTTT